CTGGAACAATGTGAAGTTGAAGAGACAGTATAGAGAAGTATATACTGGCAGAAGGTGAAGTCCAGTTCACTAGAAGAAAGAATGTTATCATGGAGAAGGCAAGTCCTTCTCAGATCCATCCATCTTTTGCTAGCGAACTGCACCTCACCTTCTGCCAGTATACATGTCTCTATACTGTCTCTCCAACTTCACATTGCTCCAGACTGGAACAAAACTCTTCTCCAGGCTGAGGGACAGTGAGAAGATCAGTGCTGTCAACATACACATTTGGGGGACAGTGAGAAGACCAATGTTGTCAAGATACAGCACTTGGCAGTGAGAAGACCAATGTTGTCAAGATACAGCACTTGGCAGTGAGAAGACCAATGTTGTCAAGATACAGCACTTGGCAGTGAGAAGACCAATGTTGTCAAGATACAGCACTTGGCAGTGAGAAGACCAATGTTGTCAAGATACAGCACTTGGCAGTGAGAAGACCAATGTTGTCAAGACACAGCACTTGGCAGTGAGAAGACCAATGTTGTCAAGATACAGCACTTGGCAGTGAGAAGACCAATGTTGTCAAGATACAGCACTTGCAGTGAGAAGACCAATGTTGTCAAGACACAGCACTTGGCAGTGAGAAGACCAATGTTGTCAAGATACAGCACTTGGCAGTGAGAAGACCAATGTTGTCAAGACACAGCACTTGGCAGTGAGAAGACAGGCTCTACACAATAAGACGAGCACCAAGTTACACTTTGGTTGTACCCTTTTCAAGAGCATCACTTCATCTGAGAACTTTCATCCTGATGATCGTATTAAAATGTTTCATAACAGATTGGCGTTCAAATGAGCTGAGACAGTTAACACCTCTTAGATTGTAAGTCAAGGTTGGAGCTCTTTATCTAACCTTGTAAAAACCAAACCTGTGTGTGTAGAAAGGGTATTAAGTATCCTTTTATAATGCATTCTTCCACACGTGGAAGGCCTAGTTGGCATCTTGGAGTCTGATGTACAAAACAATCTCTTCTGAAACCCAGAACCCACTACAGTTGTGCTGAAATCCCAGCCTATCTCTTTCTGTGACCATTGTGGCTATGCTTCCTTTATCTTGTAAATACAGAAACCATGTTTTTGGAAGCACCACTCCATCTGTAAGTGCTGATGTAGACAGCCTGTACTGTCTGTATAGACAGCCTATGCTGTCTGCCAGCTGAGTTCATATTTTGTGCCTTGCTCGTCCTGCTAACTATAGGCCTATGCCACTTCTGATGTTCAGACCTGCCTCTCACTCAGCAGCCTTCACTCAGCCAGCAAGGCTGTGAGGGAAAAGTTCAACAGATAGGAGTAGCGAGCGAGTATATGGTAACGACAGTTTGATTGCCGGCTGCTTGTTAAGGTAGGGTCAGTCTCGCTCCCGCTATCCCCTCCCCCCCTTTTCCCCCACCCCGATAGGTGACGTGTGGGGCTCCGGCCAAACAGTAATCACTCGACTCACAGCTCCCAACACAACTGTAAGTAAAAGCCTCTGCTCCTATTCTAGTGGATATTGGTTGAAAGCTTCACTTTTGACCAATAATAAACTTAGTCCTTTCAGTTTTAAGCTCCACATGAGACTTTTCGATAATCACCACCTTTTTTAAGTATCTTGCACTTAACATGGAGAGTGATTTCTTAAGCTTGGAATGACAGATCAGGTCACCTGCCAACCAACGAGAAGTGTTGAAGGAGACGGACTGAAACAGCCCATGAGACGTCATTCATAATCTACCTACCTGATTAATTGTACAAGACACTACCCCTCATCTTTGCAGTGGTAAAGAACCTGAGTTCCTGTCATCTGGACTGACTATTCAAGGCTGTAGACTCTGTGAAGAACTAGTCGTTGGGTTGTCACCAACACCTGTGACCCCTCCCCCCCCACATCATCATCAACGGCTACAATTTCTACAAGACGGTGTCAACCTCAACCAGACACCCCAGTATAACTGTACATATTAGCGTTGAATTCAAATTTCATTTTTCATTTTTCTGTCAAATATGATACACATTCATTTTTTCAATGTTTTATCTTTGCATTACTAAATAATAAAGAGTTTATCTTTGTGAATTATTATTTCTTTTTCTATTTATTAATTTTCCTGAGGAGCCAGCCTTGGTAATACTATTTGAAGTTGTTACAGGGCTGAGTAAGCTTCACAAAGCCTACTCCTCTCTCCCTCTCGGGCATGGCCCGGGAGAGCCATGCCCGAGAGGGCCTGTGTACCCAGATATCGCAAATAAAGTAAGAAGCCTCTGAAGCCTTATCATTGAACCCTACTCTGCAGGAATGACCAATAATCTGGTGAACATAGGTGGCAGCGGTGGTTGCAGCGGTTGTGTTGCCCGAGGAAGGAAGGAAGAGGAATGAAGGTGTCTTCACTTCTTCACCCTACACAAGAAGCATCCGTCTCTCAACGAGTTATCCTGATGTCGTGTCTGCATGTTTCAGCATATGCTGTTTCTCAAGTGGGTATGTGGGAGAGGAAGCGGCCGGGTTCCTCGCCTCACTCATGCCTCACTCACCTACCACCACACTCCACCACTATGTACTCGCTCCCTCTGCTCTGTTTTTTGTGTTTTTCACTCGAAGCTACGTAGATCAAGCCACGTGGATCACCAAGCCATGTAGATCAGCAAGCCGCGTAGATCACGAAGCCATGTGGAGCAAGCCACGTGGGGTGTGGACAATGCCACTTGGGTCTACAAGCCACATGGGTTACTAAGCCAGACACCCCAGGCCACATGCTGTAGTCTGCTGCCGCATCACACTGAAGTCACCTCACGACGGTGCCCGACTTCGTCACACCAGGACGTCACCTCACGATGTCGCCCCTTGACATCACCTCATGACGTCACGCCTGATCGATAGTGTTTCACAGTGAGCAATGTGTGTTGTCGAGAAGACTGAGAGAAGATATATGTCATGTATTAATTCCTCTCAGTGTTCTCACATATTCGTGTATAACTTAGTGTCGATTTTTGCACAGAATAATGTCATTTGCTAGTAAGCCATGTTGTACCACATGTACAGTGCGGGTGTGTGCAGTATGCCCAGACCTGCGTCTCACTCAATCAGCGGCCTTCACTTAGTCAACAAGGCCTCTCTTCCTTGCGGGCATGGCCCTCCCGGGCCATGGGCAAAAACACACTGCCTGTATACCCAGATATAGCAAATAAAGTAAGAAGCCTCCGAAGCCTTACCGAACCCCGCTCTGCAACGACGACACAATAAACTCATAATACTGATAAGACTATTCTGTCAACTCAGTGCTAATAAGTACTTAATGTGAAAGTGTCGAAATTGTGAGTGAGATTGACTGACTGGAGTTTATTAAGAGAGATCAATAGATCGAGAGTTATGCTATTTTCAAAGTGAGGTATGATGTGAGAGAGCGAAGACAGTGAGGAGTTCGAGCTGATCTTAATCAGTATCACTGAGCAAGTCGAGCACTATCATAGAAGTCGGAGCTTGATCATGAGAGTTTCGGTTTCATGAAAGTACGAGATCATCATGAGATACAAGATGTAGATCAGAAGCGCGTAGATCATAGAGAGCGAGTTGTGTGAGAGAGTGAGAGTTGGACAATGATCGACGTTGGGTCTAGAGATCGGAGTTACTAAGGGCGAGAGACCCCAGGGAGAGTCGTAGTGTCGCATCACACTGACGAGTATCATGAGAGTGCCCGACTTCGTCACCGAGAGATCGATTGATCTTGACATCAAACTTGATCAGTGGAAGTCGAAGTGATCACTGAGAGACAATGATGTGTGTCGAGAGGACATGAGAGAGGAGATTATAGTGCACGATAAGTTGTCAGTAGGATTTTCCAGATTTCGTGAGAGTAGAGTTAGTGTCGAGTTTGACAGATAAAGTCATTTGATAGTGAGAGCCATAGTTGTACACAGTGAAAGTGCGGAGTTGTCAGTATGCGCAGTCGACTGGTCTAGTCAGTCGCGGCTTCATCGTAGTCGAGCAAGTTTATCGTGAGAGGCGAGTTGATCCGTGAAGCATGGGATTATCACTGCCTGTAGACCAGATATGAATAAAGTAGAGAGCTCCGAATTGTCATGAAGCGCGGCTGATCAGAGAAGATCGATGAATCAGAAAGAATCGAGTTGATCAGTGCTAAATAGTAGTTTAATGTGAAGAGTCGAATGATGTGAGATGAGATTGACTGACTGGAGTTTATTAAGAGAGATCAATGAGAGTCGAGAGTTGATCAATGAGAGAGTCGAGAGTTGATCAATGAGAGAGTCGAGAGTTGATCAATGAGAGAGTCGAGAGTTGATCAATGAGAGAGTCGAGAGTTGATCAGTGAGAGAGTCGAGAGTTGATCAGTGAGAGAGTCGAGAGTTGATCATGAGAGAGTCGAGAGTTGATCATGAAGTCGAAGTTGATCATGAAGAGTCGAGAGTTGATCAGTGAAGAGAGTCGAGAGTTGATTAGTGAGAGAGTCGAGAGTGATCATGAGAGAGTCGAGAGTTGATCAGTGAGAGAGTCGAGAGTTGATTAGTGAGAGAGTCGAGAGTTGATCTATGAGAGAGTCGAGAGTTGATCAGTGAGAGAGTCGAGAGTTGATCAGTGAGAGAGTCGAGAGTTGATCAGTGAGAGAGTCGAGAGTTGATCAGTGAGAGAGTCGAGAGTTGATCAGTGAGAGAGTCGAGAGTTGATCAGTGAGAGAGTCGATAGTTGATCAGTGAGAGAGTCGAGAGTTGATCAGTGAGAGAGTCGAGAGTTGATCAGTGAGAGAGTCGAGAGTTGATCAGTGAGAGAGTCGAGAGTTGATCAGTGAGAGAGTCGAGAGTTGATCTATGAGAGAGTCGAGAGCTGATCTATGAGAGAGTCGAGAGTTGATCTATGAGAGAGTCGAGAGCTGATCTATGAGAGAGTCGAGAGTTGATCAGTGAGAGAGTCGAGAGATTGTCTCGACTGATTTTTTTTCGTCTTTTCCTTATATATGTTTTTCTCCCCCCAGGATAATCAAGGCATTGTGCTTGGTGCTCCTGGTGTTAAAACTTGGGCTGGTAAGCAACAGAGATCTGTAATAGTCTTTCAAATTTTTTTTTTTTAAATACGTTAGAATATATTCTAGTACATTCAAATACGTGACATCATGCATTAAATATCGTTAATATATTTAGACACCCTTTAAAATTTGCTACATTATTTTAAAAAATTAGCACCATTAACTGAATATTTTTTAGAACTTCTGCTGAATTCCAGACCATTAAAAAATGGTCCAGTATTGTTATTAATTTGAGAGAAATTCAATTAAATATCTATAATTAAATTTAGTAGGTAAGCAAAAGGTGACAGGTAAATTATTACTATAGTAATTATTAATTCGCGAGTGGTGCAGGTAATGTAACATGTTTGTGGGTTCAGTTAATATAAATTACAGTAGCAGGATTTGCAGTACAGTTAATATAAATTAGTATATTTTGCCGCACCACTGCATATTGCAGGGACGGTGGCAACAGTGCAAAAATTTGTCGACTGGAACATCGTGGATTCACGTTTCCGGCGCTTGAAACGGTCCAACACATACCAGACCAAGACTAATGTCTATACACCTTACACTCAACTCCAGCAATACGATTATTTTGGTTAGTAAAACGTATATTTGCAAAAAAATCCTTACAGGTTAATTTTTTTCTGATATTTTTTATTAAAAATAAATTTTACACAAAACTGAATGTAAGCAGTTAGGATGGATACTGAGATATCAGATTGTCGAGAAAGTAAAAAGTTGTTTAAGCAAGACATTTCTTAAGCTCAGTTCAGAATTAGCAGGGATTTGTTTCTTCATTTGTAACCTTGTAAATTATGGTAAAATGCTCGTATTATCATTACCTTAGATAAAAGTCGTGAAGATACCTACTGGGTAATCTGGGTTAATGCCCAGATTGCGCTTTACCTATACAATTATGAAGGAGTGTAACATGCAGTATCCCTTACAGGGTACAGCTTGACCTCTGGCAGGTTTTGGGGTGAGTCTTACCTCATCGTAGCTGGAGCACCACGAGCTGATACCCACGGCAAGGTGAGCAAGCCAGGTTACCTTCCACGACCTCCCTTCCTTTACCTATTACTGGCCTCTCATGTACTTAACTCTCATTAAAATGTACATTATCGTTATTATGTAAATTATTAATATTTAATAATTTATTATCTTAACTTTTATTTTTATAACTAATGAAAAATATTAAAATAGGGCCATGATCGTTGTATATCTTCGTACATTTTTCTCCAGTTAGATCCCTCATTACTTGACTTTTTCAGGTATACATATTCAGAACAACGGAAGACCTGCAGTTGGTGATAGAATGGGTGGGAAAGGGTAGCCAGCTTGGCTGTGGATATGGGCATGCAGTTGCTGCTGATGATGTGACTGGAGATGGCTGGAGTGAACTTTTTGTGGGGGCACCGATGTACTCCTCCAGTGTGGCTGATACAGGTGAGTGTGTGTGTGTGACTAGAAGACTAGGCAATATTTGGGGGGTTTGATTTGGGTCATTTGGTTAGCTGTGCCGTTAATAATAAAAGCTTATGAATAGCCAATTTTAAGTATTGTCTGTATGCAAATTTAGCATATCAGGTCGACTGATAATTTTAGTGAACATAATATCTCAATTTCCTGAAGGTGCTCTAATTTTTCCTATTTATTTTAACCCCAGTTTAACTTATTACGAAATTCTATAATACTTTTGAGATTTTTCCAACTTAAGATCATTTCTGGGAGTTAATTTTATTGAATACAGTTTACAAACTGAAAGTTACTATCCTCCCTCAGCTCATTTCAAAGTCCGTTTGTCTCTAAGCTGTACTAACACATCCCCTTGAATGTGACTCAAGCCCTAAGTCGAACCCGGATCCCTTAACTTGTGATCTGAAAGTTCATACATTAAGCTACCGGTCAATGCAACCGTATTGACCTGTAGCTTAGTATAAGGAAACATGTCCATTGTTTTCATGGACCCTCAGCCTGTGAGGCGAGAGCTTTGCCTACCAGGCCACGGGCGATAAGGAAGTTTTGAATATCATGGCTGAGTCAGTAGTTCTGGAGACTTACGGCAGAGAGTTCCAGATTTTGGGCCATTGTATGTACATAGAATTTTTGAAGACATTTAGCCGGACGTAGAGATTTTTGTGCCTGGTATTATGTCTATGGAGCCTGTTGCAACAATCAAGCAAGTTTTCAGGTCGAGATTAATGTGAGAATTTGTTTTGTAAATGCGGGTTGCACAATAGTAAGTGTGAATATTTTGTATAGTGAGTAGGTTTAGGTCTAGAAGTAGACTGTGGCCATTAGTACCGCAGCTTAGGCGAGTTGCTGTTGTGAATCCCTGGCACAAATAGCATAGGTGAGGTAGGGATAGATAAGTGAATATAATGCAAGTAGTGCTGCTTGTGGTACATAGTAACGTATCTCTGAGAGGATCCCAACTGTTTTGGATATTTTTTGTTTGTTGTGTGTTGGATATGGGTTCTAAATTTCAAGTTGCTGTCAAGGTGCAGACCCAGAAATTTCCCTCATTATGTTTAGCAATAAGAGTATGATCAATCATAATGTTCAGTTGGGCATCACCTGTTCTACTCCCAAACATAATATAGAAGGTTTTGTCAATATTAGAGTGCAAGTTTATTGGCAGTTATCCAGGTCGATATCCCATATTTCACGATATTTTAAGTATGTCTTAGAAAAGAACCCAGAAAAAAATATTGGAATATTGGCACTTGAAATAAGTCACTTTATCTGACTTCTTTTGGGGTTATCCTAGGCAATATACACGTATATATGATAATTCATGTAAGTATTTGTGTACCTGTACCTGAGTAAACTTACGAAAAGGGAGCACAATTTTTCGTTGAGTCCACACATAGACAATGAATGTCCTATTTTCTTTAATGTTCATTTTTGCACATTAAATGTGGGAATTTGTTGGTCCCAGATCCCTACAGTTGGCTTGTATGTGAAATATATATACAGTTGTTTAAGGCCTATCGAGAAAGCAATACATACCCATAGATACCCCAGTCCCACACTTGGGTCGACTGAGTACCAGACGAGTGGACTGAAATATATAATAAAAAAACATGAAGGAAATAAGTAGGGAAAAATAAATAAAAATTGAGAAAAAAGAAACGTAGAGTTCAACTCTCTTCATTAAAAACATATGTTGCCACCACCTGCTCTGTTAATGGTGAAAATAGTTATAGTTACAGCTGAAGAGAGAGAGAGAATGTGGATTAGAGCAGGAAAACACCCAATTGGAAATACAGGGTAATTAAGACAAAAAATTAGTCCTAATAAATACTGTCTCTTGGGGTAACTTGGCCCGAGAATTGAGCAGTAGGCACCTTATCAGGGGCTTGACTCGCTAGGGAAAAGATATGGTCACTACATGTATCTCAGTTTAATTATTTACAAATGGACCGTATGTACGTGGCTCAAGGGGCTAATGAAACATACCCAGATAAAGAGCTTACACATCACACACACACACACACACACACACACACACACACACACACACACACACACGAGACGACGTTGCCACGTGTCACCCAAGAAAGTTAACAAAGTGAAACAATCGTGTGACCAGTGAAAGAAATACATTATATAACGAGAAGAAATTGAGTGGATCTATGCCAGGACGTCACATCGAGCTGGACAATCTACAGGCTGCTACAGCTGCATTGCAAGTACTGTATTCACCTATGTGTGGTTGTTTGGGTGTGGGGTTTCAGGTTCCAATTAACCGCCAAGATGATTGTGAATGGTCCAACTCTCCTAGCACGATAAAGAATAGGCACTCAAGTACTCAATAAGGAATAGCAATTGGTAATCTATGGAACAAGGCGAATAAGTTACTATAAGCCTAGGTGGTAGGACAAGCATAAAGGGCAACATTGTAAGTAGGTGCGTTCAAGTCACAGGAGGGTGGGGGTCAGGTCACAAGAGGTTGTGGTCAGGCAAGGAACCACTGACACTTCACAACCACTGACAATGCACAATTCCACCTACTTTTCAGACACTTAATAAACCCACACATAATTCCACACATAACTAAACACACACACACACACACACACACACACACACACACACACACACACACACACACACATATATACAGACTCAGACACACACACTCCCCCCTCCCCACCAACCTCTCACTCCTTCCCCTGATCATCCCCTCTCTGTCACCCTCCTTCCCCCCTCTCCCTCTCCCATTCACCCCCTTGCTTCTCCCTCCTTCTCACTCCCCATATTCCCCCCTAAATCCCCCTCCCCACCCCTCTCTCCCATATAGCCACTGTCCACAGTTCCTCCTCTACCTTCCCCCCACACTCTGACAAACACACTACTAACCTAACACACAGAATTACATAAGTTTTCCATTCTGAGGGAATCAAAATAAAAAAAAGGGTTGCCAGAGAGCAGGAAGGAAAACCAAGGGGCAGGAGAATGAATCTGCAAAGGAACATTGGGCAGCAGAGCTCACAAGAAGGGAACATGAATGGGAAAAGATACTAGAAGAACTTAGCATGAGAATGAAAGAGAGGATAGATATGGAAAGCAGGAAGTGGGAGATGCAAGTCATAGCAGCAGAGGCTAGGATACAGATATTAGAAGAGGAACTGAAAAATCTGAAACAGACTAAAGAACTAAAGAACATTTTGGGAATGACATCAGAGACTGATACCTCAATCACAAATAAAGGGACTGTAGGGAAAGAAGGAGCAAAACTGCATGTAGAAGCTCTATCAGAGGGGACTGTAGTAAATGAAAGAGCTAAGCTATATGTGGAGGCCCTAACAGCCCACAGCAGAGCCCAGGGAAAGCCGAGAAGGGAAAATGACAGGCCACAGAGCCCAAGTACAATAGATAGTGAAACTGAAGAAAGGAAAGCTGCAATGGAGGAAATTAAATTGAATAAGTGGATATGTTTCCTCCAGGAAGCAATTGAAAGCATCATAAAAGCAATAGGAGATGACATGAACCAGCTGGAAAATTTTCGGAGAATAGTGGGGTTTGCAAGAAGAAGAACCCTGCTAATGAAAGTGACTTTCAAGGCAGAATCAACTAGGAACAGGATCCTGCAGGAGAAAGCACGATTAAGAGACATGCCGGCATACAGGAAGGTGTATCTCGACTGGGACAGAACACGAGAAGAAAGGCAGAAACTGAGAGAGATGGTACAAAGGCGAAAGGAGGAAAGAGATGGGATGGAGGAGACAGACAGGAGATCCGAGACCCAGGAAGAAGATCAAATACAGCCTCCCTCACTACGTCCTATAGAAGCCCCCAAACAAGGTCAACCCCAGTGCAACCAAACATTCTAAACCAAAACACCCATGCCATATCCAATGCCCCCACCCACTGCACTACAAACTCCACCCCGACAGCAGCCACCCATAGTTCCTTATCAGGTCTCCCACTTCCACGACCCCAATATACCTCCCAGACCACAGTCTTAGAAAAGAAGTTGAAGGTGTGGTAAACAAATGCAGATGGAATAACAATTAAGTGTGAGGAGTGGCATGAAAGAATCAAGGAGACATCCCCAGACATAATAGCACTCACAGAAACAAAACTCACCAGCATAATAACAGATGCAATCTTCCCATCCGGATATCAAATCCTCAGGAAAGACAGAGGGAGGAGAGGTGGAGGAGGAGTTGCACTGCTCATTAAAATCCTGTGGGGTTTTGAGAAAATGGAAGGAATGGATGGCACGGGAGAAAGGGACTACTTAGTAGGAACAATCCAGTCTGAGGGACATAAGGTGATAATTGCAGGAATGTACTACCCACCACAGAACTGCAGGAGGCCAAGAGAAGAATATGATGAGAGCAACAGAGCAATGGTCGACACACTAGCCGAGGTGGCCAGAAGAGCACACATGGGGGGAGCTAAGTTACTAGTTATGGGTGATTTCAATCACAAGGAGATTGACTGGGAAAACCTGGAGCCCAATGGGGGTCCCGAAACATGGAGAGCCAAGATGATGAATGTGGTACTGGAAAACCTCATGCATCAACATGTTAGAGACACGACCAGAGAGAGAGGTGAGGATGATCCAGCAAGACTGGTCCTTGTATCCAGGCAGTTACTTAACACCCCTGCTTCTGGTGGAGCGACTGTAGGACTTTCAGGCCTTGTACTCCACATGGTTGACACAGTGAATAAGTAGCTCCGGCACTACTCCCAATAATCTGAACCAATCTCCACTGGACAAGGTCACAAGATGACCAACCATGGTGGCTCTAGGGAAGTCAGGCAAGACCACGTATGGGTAGGGTCACGTTCACTACTCTCAACTGTGAATCCAGTACAAGTCCAATGATTCACAAATCACTTAAGTGATGCGCCTTCATTACGCGACGTTATGCAGTACGGGGTTATGCAGTACGGGGTTATGCAGTACGGGGTTATGCAGTACGGGGTTATGAAGTACGGCGTTATGCAGTACGGCGTTATGCAGTACGGGGTTATGCAGTAAGGAGATACCGTTATCGGATCGCACAGCGGCCGAATTTCAGAATTTCTTTCAAAAAAAAAAAAAAAAAAGTCTATTGCAACTTGTATATTTACTACTAATTCCGAGTCATGTACTTACATATCTGTTATAACTATGTGACTCTGATGGGTTAGTATTATACTCCTTCAAGAATATTTTATTATTCCACATACACTTTTTAAATTACACCAAAGTGGTTGGGCCACTTACCTTTTATATCCTACCTCTCTCCCTCTCTCCCATCCTTTTCCGATATTTCTATCCTTACCCATCCTTCTTCCTTACCCATCTTACCAAAGCTCTGGTCAAGAAGTGAAGTGAATTTCTTTCAACAGTATAAGCACTATGTTATATAACTCAAATGCTAAGACAAATTACTTATATGCAGTGTAACACCTTTGTTTTTGGTGTAACTAATAAACATTGACAGTAGCTCTTATTCTGAAGAAATTTTAGGAGGGAATTCTCAGCCGCTGGCAGATAGGATAGAATCGAAGCGTAGAATCGATGAAGCGCACACTAATGGATTTTCGTAAATTTCTGGGTTACAGGAAGTAGCGCGGAAGTATGGGACGCTGGCGCAGTGGAGGTGTACAGAAGTGGGAGCGCGAGTAAGAGTGGCCTGAGCATGGTAGCCAGGCTCCAGGGATCACTAGCTACGCCTGGAGCTAGGTTTGGCTCGGCTATTAGTGTTATCGGAGATTTGGATCGAGACGGTTTCAATGGTGAGTTGATTCCATTTCTGATTTTAATGTTTTAGAAACATTTTTTGTGAATATTTCTATGCATACATGTCTTATTTGACGGAACTGCCGGTCACTAAATTCTTACAACTTAAGCATCATTCCTGACACTTTGATACCTCATTCCTTGTTGATGGCACCCATTAAATGATCATATAATTATAATTTTGCTTTGGTCACCCCGCATACTAGAGTGTAAGTCAGTGTTTCCGTTACCATCATCTATACCAGCAGTTATAAATCTCACAACGAAGTTCTGACACAACCAGCTTATCACATTCAGCACAATATTAATACATTCAGTGGTTTTCTGACACCTCACTCTCATAACACCTTAAACGCTCTTCTCTCATTTAATTACTTTTCTTACACAGTAACACTCTCCTAGTATGTTAAACATTCTTCTTAACCGCTTCTCTCTGAGACACTGGCACTGATGCTGATGAAACTGTCATTTCAGATGTTGCTGTGGGCGCGCCTTACGAAGACGATGGCCGAGGTGTTGTTTATATTTTCAGGGGGAGTGCTAACGGCCTCATGACCAAGTATGCCCAGAGGATTCTCGCAAGGGACCTCCACCAAGACCTGAGAAGCTTCGGAATCTCCATCTCAAGAGGCGTCGACGTGGACACGAATGGTTATGTAGGTGAGAGAGACAGGTACACTCGCACTAAAACAGAGACAGGAGGCAGAGGACGGGAGGTTCATAGTAGAAGAATTGAGTTTACGGGAGTACGAGAATTTTTTTCCAAGTGTTAACTTCTCAGAGATAGCAAAGAACCTATTATCAGAAAGACTTTGTTATTGAAAGGAGCTATATGATATTAATGTTTATAATTTAACTTGGAGAGAACGAAAAAGGAGAGCACATTTGAAGGGTGAGGAATATATCGACAAAGAAACATGAGGCAGGATATGTGAAAAGAGCAAAGAAAATTCACCCTTTAAAAATTTTCTCCACGTCACCCCTACACAGCTCCTAGCAGGCACATTATAAGGTATGCTCTTCCTGTGCAATCAAGCCTAACTCAATATACAACAAACCATATTTTCCCAATCTCCCAACATCCGATATTGGACCATTCTCCAGACTCTTCCGTACCCCAGTACCTTCTGAGGTGACACTTCGTCACCCGCTCCAGGTGCTGAGGCTCCGCCAGTTTCTTCTAGGCCTCTGCCTCTTGCGCACCTTTAACTATGTGTCCGGTTTCCCCGAATATGGTGCGACAGTTTTTGGATCGTCCACCTACTTCGGGTCAGGCCGTCCGCGGTACTACGTCTAAACGTTCCAGACCATTTACTGACGACAGTTCCTCAATGTGTACTCTTTCTATCAAAAAATGATCTATGCGATACCCACTTCCTTTACTTACCATGTTTACAAGTACGCAGTGAACTAAATTCTTTTCCCAACAACCGACATCTCCAACTGATTATCTTTCTGACCATAGTATTGGCAAAGCTCTTTTACTACATGTTGGCCCAAACATATCCTTTCACACTTTTCGAAGTGGTGTGAACATCATTACAGTTCAGAATGCAGAACAAGCTCATATTCTTTCCCATATTACTTTCATTGATAACATTCCAATCACAGTTCACAAGCATGCTGCTCTCAATTCTTGCAGTGGTACAGTGGTTCTACTGCATACCATTGTACAGAGAGATTTTGTCTTACGATGATGATATTTTGTAGCAATTAGTTCTTCAGGACCTTCCTATTCTCAAAGTGGATACATATGTCCTGCCTGCTCGTGGGCAGAGGCGCTTTTCCAGTAACATCACCCACTTAACCTTGGACTGCAATGAACTTCCGTCCTCTGTTTATATCGAGGGCCATCGCCTAGAGGCCCCTGCTCCCCAACAATGTCGAAATTACTGGCTCTTTGGACACCTCGCTAAATACTGCAGATTTGTAGCGAAGTACCTGGTCTGTAGTGCTGCAGATCGTGCCAATGCATCTTGCAGTCTTCCCCTCACTTGTCTCAATTGCAATGAACCTCATCCTTCTTTTTCCCGCCATTGTCAGGTCTATCGTAATGAACGAGAATTCCATTGTCTTATGGAGAGCGAAAGCCTTACTTATGCTATGGCTGTCTCTTAGCTCTACCTTCAGGAAATCTTCCCCGTATCCCTTATTCGCAAGCAGTTAGGATACGTCCAGCCTTGGTGGTCCCTCCACCTACTAGCTCCTCCGGTGTCATCTCTTCCAGGGTCACCCCCATCTCTAATTCTTTTGCAGTTTTACCCTCTGAAACCCCCACCTCCTTACCTACTCCTTCCTGTACTACTACTACTCGCCTGCTAGTGTCTCAGTCTGCAAGGCCTCACATCATCTTCACGCCTATCGCTTGTGAAGTTGAACCTGTCTCATAAGCCCATGTCTCTTCGCATTCCTCCAGTACTTACAACTCCCCAACAGTTTGCCTTTTCGGCCTCAGTGCCTCGTTCTCACCCCCTTTTCTAACTATCACAAGAAGGTGGAGGTTCATCCCCCTTGTGTGGTCTCGTCTTCTCCTGGTCCCCCCCCCCCCAGCTTCTTCCTCAATTACCTTCCAACCTCCTTCCTCTTCTGTTCCACTGCAGGACTCTTCTGTCCCCACCGGTTTCTCTCTCGAGGTTCATACTTCCCTCCCCTCTCAAACCTCTTTGGTTCTCACCATAGTCTCCCCGATCTCTATTTGCTTTACCTCGCCTGTCTGAAGTCATGGTATCGGCATCTTCCTTATCCGATGACACTTAACGCTATCTCTGACTATATTGTGGAGATAAACCCTCGAAGGACACCGGCACGCCTTCTACCCTCTTATTTTTCACGACCCTCACAGCAGTCTTTTCCTTCACAGCAATCTGATTCCTACTTGCTTACATACTTTCTGTTGCCTCCACACACACTGACTTCACTGACCCCTAATAGATTTTATCGCTTCTTATTGTTGACATACCTGTCTTTGTGAATAATGACTTATTTGCAGTGGAATATTCGAGTACTCAGGGGTAATCGGGGAGAGCTCCAGGTGTTGCTCTACCAGTTTTCCCCAGTGTGTGTTGGGTTACAAGAGCCCAAAATTCGTTCAGCTATTATTCGCTCCTTTCCGGGCTACGTGCTGTTGCATTCTTCTGATCCTTTTCCTGATGAATCATTTAATGAGTATGTGCTTCTTGTGCACGTTGGTATTCCCTATCAGCAAGTCTTTGTTCATTCTCTTCTGCATTATACTGCAGCCTGTACTTACTTGCACAGATGGTATTCAGTTTGCTCTCTATATCTCTTCCCTTCCCGTGCATTCTGTATCTCGGATATTGCGTTCTTGATCTCTTCTCTGCTGCCCCCCCCCCAATCTTGTTAGGTGATTTTAATGCTCACCATCATCTTTGTCTAGGATTCCACTGTGACTCGTGGTGATCAGTTGAAGAGATTTCTTGGTTCTCGTTCTCTTCATGTTTTAAATACAGGTGCTTCCACCCATTTTGACTCTCACACTCAGTCTCTCTTGCATTGATTTTTCTATCTGCTCCTCATCAGTTGCATTTGATTTCGCTTGGTCTATTTCTCCAGATTTGCACGACAGTGATCACTTTCCTATTCTTACTTCAGCTACATGTTCCCGACCTCCTCGTAGCCCCCGTTGGCAATTTGGACGAGCAAATTGGAACTTGTACTCTCGTCTTACCACCTTTTGTGGGGAACCTCCTTCGTCCTCTATTGATGAGCTGGTACACCAGTTTTCGACCTTAGTTTTGACTGTGGTGTCACATTCTATTCCTCAAACCTCAGGCAAGCATTCTCATGCATGTGTGCCTTGGTGGTCTCCTGCGTGTGCTCATGCAGTGTGTTTGAAACGTGCTGTGTGGGGCCGTTATCGATATAATTGGACCCCAGATCGTCTTATGGATTTTAAGCGAGCAAGGGCAGTCACTCGTCGTGTTGGCACGACTACGCATCTACCATTATCATAACTTCCCTTATGTATGTGGTTCAGAAGAAGGTACGGAAGTTGTGTGGCAGACACAATCCAGACCCAGCTCCCATTTTGCGGATTGCTAGTGTTAGTGTTGCAGAACCTTCTGAAGTTGCCACGGAAATCGGGAACTATCTTGTCCTTTGTCCCTCATTTCTTGCGTCTAAGTCTAGCAAGGAGCAATTTCCCTTGGATTTCTCCTATAATGGAATGGAGCCACATAACGTACCTTTCACTCTCCTAGAGCCAGAGTCCACACTTTCTGCTTGCCAGTCATCGGCAGCTGGACCTGATGATATATCAGTATGCTGCATCTGCGTTCTACAGCCCATACAGTCCTTTTGCGTCTTTTCAATCTTATTTGGACACGAGAGGCTCTCCCTCAACTATGGAAATCTGCCACTGTACTACCATTTTGCAAACCAGGCACCTCGAGGCTTGATACCTCTCATTATCGTCCCATTGCTCTGACCAGTGTAATCTGTAAGCTGATGGAACGATTGGTGAATAAACGTCTGATATGGTATTTGGAGGCTCACAATAATCTTTCTCCTTGCCAATATGGCTTTCACAAGGGCCGCTCTACTTTGGACCCCTTGCTCCATTTATGAATATGTGCGAAATGCCTTTCCTAACAAACACTCCGTCCTAGCAGTCTTTTTTGATTTTGAGATAGCATGTGACACCACTTGGAGGTATAACATTTTAGCCAACTTTCCTTACTGCTTTCTTATCTGACAAATATTTTCGTGTCCGTGTTGGCTCCTTTTTTCATCAGATTTTGTTCAGGCCGAGGGTGTCCCACAATGTTGTGTCCTTATCACTACCCTTTTTCTCTTGGCTATAAATGACCTACCTTCCGTTCTTCCATCGTATATTTGGTCGTCACTTTATGTGGATGACTTCACTGTAGCTTACGCAGGCGCTGTCTCTTGCCTAGTAGCATCCTCCGTTCAGGATGCGATTGACTGGGTTTCCCATTGGGCCACTTCTCATGGATTTAAATTTTCTAGTATGAAAATCCATTTCATTACCTTCACTAGACATCCTGATGTCCTAGATATTACACTGTATTTACACGGCTCACGTATTCCAGAGTGTAATACGGTCACGTTTTGTAGATGAATGGTTCAGAGAACCGACATGTTGATAAATTAGACACATGTGCAACTCTTGGGTATCTTTATTGTGGAAACGTTTCGCCACACAGTGGCTTCATCAGTCCGTACGTAGGAGAAACTTGAAGAACAGGAGGAGAATGAGGTAATCAGTCCCTCAACCTTGAGTCGATGTGTTCAGTCCATCAATCTTGAATAGAATGCATTCTATTGAATAGAAGGCATTCTATTCAAGATTGATGGACTGAACACATCGACTCAAGGTTGAGGGACTGATTACCTCATTCTCCTCCTGTTCTTCAAGTTTCTCCTACGTACGGACTGATGAAGCCACTGTGTGGCGAAACGTTTCCACAATAAAGATACCCAAGAGTTGCACATGTGTCTAATTTATCACGGTCAAGTTTCTTGGCCTTCTCTTCGATTGACATGGAAACCTCACATTTCCTCTGAAGGCATCTTGCCTTGGTCCGCTGAATCTCCTTAAAATTCTTGCACATTATTCATGGGGAGCAGATCACCGGACTCTACCTCCATTTGTATTCCACCCAAGTTTTGTCCAAGCTGGATTATGGAGATAAAGTCGATTTTGCAGCTACCACTCTAAGTTAGATTCCATTCATCATCAGGGTTTACGTTTATGCCTTTGTGCCTTTCGTTCATCCCCTGTTGAAAGCCTCTATGCTGAGGCGAATGTTCCTTCCTTAGCTGATCATCGTGATGCTCATTACCTTCGTTACTTTGTAGGCTCTCTTGACCTTCGTGTTTTGTCTACGTATAGGTTGGCCTCAGACGTTAGTTAAAGCCCATTATTTGTTTGACGCTCCTGATTACTCTGACCGTTTTCTCTTCATCTGCACTCTGGTCTTCTCTCCAGTTGCCTTCCTTGTATGTTCATTTAGCATCTGCCTTTTCCATTTCCCCTTGGGAAGGTCCGACTACTGCCGTGCGCCAAAGCTCTCCTACCTATAACTGGTTCTCGCTCTCTTTTTCTTGATCACTTCTGGTTGCATACCCATGCCGTTGCAGCTTATACTGATAATTCTAAATCACAAATAACCAGCACATAGAAGAGAGGAGCTTACGACGACATTTTGGTCCGACTTGGACCATTAATTAAGAGTCACACTAAAAAAAAGGAGAGGAGGGAGCATATATAGGCCAGCAGACATTGACAGGAGCCTATACATACTCTCTCCTTCTTTCCTTTTGTGTTAGTATGACTTTGTAAACGGTCCAAGTCGGACCAAAACGTTGTTGTAAGCTCCTCTCTTCTATGTATGGGTTATTTGTGTATTGTACCAGTCACGGTATCGTGCCTTTTTATAGTTATTTCTTATTTAGTTATTTGTTAGTACTAAATCTTCTGACTGTGTTGGGTTCGTGGCGATGTTCTCTGATGATGCTGTCTGAGGTCATTTGTTAGACTCGGCTAGTATTTTTATTGCGCTTCTCCGTAATACATATATGTCCCCCTCGATGTTTGTGATCATTTCAGATTCCCTCGTTGCTGCTAAATAATGGAATAAAATCATCTTAAACCCTTTCCTCAATTTTGTTCCTCCTCAGACGTGGGCGTTGGAGCGTACGGAAGTGAAGGAGAAAAGTACTTAGACGGCGTTGGTGCAGCTGCCGTGCTTCGAACACGAAGTGTGGCCACTTTATCTTCGCGAGTGACATCTAAAGTGGCAGTGATTACTGATCCCACAGCGGAAGTGGAGGTGGATCTGTGTCTGGCCTATAATGGTGATGGAGTTCAGTGGCGAGTTGGTCAGTACCTTAACTCAGTGTTCACAATATTTGAGAAGAACTACAGTATTCAGTTTCACTTTATTTCCTTTTATTTTCTCTTGTAATATTTTATACCAGTTTCCTTGAGGATATTAATTAGAATCGATCATACATAAAAAAAAATGAGTTAAAATTTGGAAACAGGATGTTGAACTTTTTGAAGTGGATGTTGGATAAAAATTTGGACAGGTACACGAGGACAGACAGAGAACATATGAGACCTATTCTGTAAACAGAAATAGAAAGAGCGAATTTTAAAAAATATTCAATGTTTTTGAGAAATGGTGCAACTAAGGTTAAAGATTAAATATAGGGGGAACTTAGCTTAATACAGCTTTCGCCCACACAGCCGCTCCAGCAGGTGAGGTCTTGAGAAGCTGTCGTAGCCACTTCTCAATGGGCTGTAAAAGATATATATTGGAAATAAATTACCCCTAGGGGGTATTATGTCAGCATATTTCAATAACTGTTTGCTGATTGGAAAACTTACTTTTGTAGAGTCGATGGTCTGTAATTTACCGGGTATTGGTAGTGCAATAAGCACAACATAATATCCACTGTGCAGCTGACCTCTCAATGTTATGATCATTAAACATACTTGGGTATTTGTAGCAGACCCGTAGTTCCACCCAGATATCCTTTGACTTGATTGAAGAATAGTATTCTTTGATTAATGTTACACTACTTTCTGTTGGATCGCAACACTCGTTGCAACACTGTTCATCAAGATTTGTTCATTTATTCACAATCTGTTTACTAAAGAAGCTGATCACACTTTTCTGTAAGTGTTTATTGTGTTTTGTGAGATACTTTGCTCACACTAACAAGCTGATCAGTGTTTTGTTGGTTATTCTGGCATCAGTGTGAGTCCCAATAGGGTGAAAAGTAATCTGACCTCACAGCCGCCTACGCTGCCACAATTCCCCTAGCACAAAAGGAAAAGCTGACCCAGTACATTTCGCTTCCTTGCCAAACTTCCACTATGAAGCAAAGCAAAATGCTTGATTCTTGCTGTCTTAAGCATAGACAACAATGTACACTATCTTTACCATGGTAATAAAGTGGGAGCAGGATTTTCTTTAATTGTCCTCCTAAGGTAAGAGATGGACTGTCTCTTATTAAACTAAACTACTTGCAACATTGGACTCTTGCAAGGAACGGCGGCTGCTTGACCGCGTCACATGCTCGTGCTGCATCTGGGATCAATTACTTAATATAGCAGTAAACAAGAAGCTTGCCCCTTCTGAGAGGGCTGGGCCCCTCAGGGCTGAAAGGGGCTGATACCCCTCTCCTGGAGAAAATTTCTCCACAAATATTGTCAAGTATTTCAGTTAAATGTACAGTGAGAACATCTCTTCAAAAGATTGAGAAAAAACAGAAAGAAATATTGCTGAGAAATATGATGGATTTAGGAACAAGGAAATTGGATCAAGTTTTTACATATTGTTTATAAGCAAATAATGCTCATGTAAATGATATAACTTTTATTTGTGGATTTGGGAAAGACCTTTAAAGAGTATATTAAATAAAAAAGATCTACCTCGTTTGTCAAATTTCTGAAGGATATGGTCTACTTGGAAATTGTTCTTGGGTTCAACGCCCCTGCAGCATAGGTCCTCGACCAGACCTTGTGGCGGATCAGGGCCTGATCAAACAGGCTGTTACTGCTCACCGCACACAATCCAACGTACGAACCACAGCCTGGCTGATTGAACACTGATTTTAAGCATTTGTCCAGTTCCCTCTTTAAGACAGCCAGGAGTCTGTTAGTAATCCTCCCTTGTGTATGCTGGGATTCTTTTGAACAACCTTGGGTCTCTGACACTTACTGTGTTGTCTCTTAGTATACTCATGATGCCCCTGCTTTTCACTTGGGAATGTTGCGTCTCCTGCCTAGGTTATATAAAACCCTCTAAAATGTAACTATTGATCAAATAGAAAATTAAAAGAAATAGCCTTGATGTGATTCGTAGTGTCATGACTGGAGGAAATGTTAAGATCCATCACAAATAACACGAAAATAAATTTGAAAACTGGAAGAAAGATTGCTGAGATTGTTTGGTCGTATAGAAGGAAGTGGCAAGATAGACTAAGGTTACATTGTAGACTGAAATTGTTGGAAATGTCTGAAGAGGAGTTGAATGGAAAGTGTGAAGGAAGTTTTGATAGGTCGTGACTTGAGCATCAAGCAGGCATTGTATATCTGGTATACCCAGCAGAGAATTTTGTGTGTTGTAGCAATATGATGATGTTCATAAACGGATTATTCATTATTGGATAAATGGTTATGCGGGCTTGAGTTTTCCAGATGAGAAACGTTGTGCTTCTGCTGAAAAGTGGATTCGGATGAAGTAAAAAACATATATTGTGTTTGTTAGGGTTTAATGGGCCATTTGATCAAAGTTTTAGTGCATTTCTGAAAACATGTTTAATGTATTAATATATAAAAATGAGTAGTCTTCCCTTTGAGTATTTCTACCTTGGTTGAAGTAGCTAACGATGGATCAAACTATACTGAAAAAAATGGGCCGGTTTTCTCAGTTCTGTCTATTCTTGGTTTAATTCATTTTCGGTGTATTACGCAGTCAGGTTATTTAAAAAATATGCTTAACTCTGGAAATATAATTTCTTAATTATAATGAAAAATAATGGTTGAACTGTTGCCAGTTAACAACCTGAAAAAGTTGGATAATTAAGTATAGTTTCTAATGATGCTCTTATTATATCAAGACTTGTCTTCTCTTGTATACCGAGATTTGTCTTGTATATCAAGACTTGCCTAACACTCTTATATCAAGACGTGCCTAACTTAATTATATACCAAAATTAACCTTCCCTTAATATACCAGGACATACTGTTCGCTCGTATATGTCAAGACTAACGAAAAGTATAGTCAATTTCTCCCTATTCTCTTTCGTAGAGTTCTCTGGCGTTAGGAATGACCCCCAAACACACATTAGTTTTAATTTTCTTTCAGTAGTTTTCTTTTGTAAGAATATACTGGAATATACATATCTGAGTATACCATTTTCGCCCCTAAGAGTAATTTCCTCACCAGATATGGAGGTGGAGGGATCTGTGGACGAAGAAACGAAAGTGACCCCCAAAGCGATCTTCGTGATCTCAGGCACCAGCCAGCTGACCTCAAACTTGACCCTCCAAAAGGATGTTGAGACATGTACGACATTCAAATTAAGATTAAAGGTGAGGAGACAGAGAGAGAGAGAGAGAGAGAGAGAGAGAGACTGGCATGGCCAAGGTATAATAGACATCCTACCATCTATAACAGGAACTTGCACGGGCAAGCCTGTAGGCATAGGGGTGAAGTTCAGAAGTGGGCCAACGCTAAATGGGAGGTGGACACTAAAAGAAAGCTAGCATCAGGTAGATTAGGCTCCAAAACCTGGTGGTCCCTGGTCAAGGAAAGACAAGGTTATCTGCCTGATGAACTCATTCCACCTCTAAATCAGCAGGATGGGACCACCTCTACTAGTACATAAGAACATAAAGAAGGAACACTGCAACAGGCCTACTGACCCATGTGGAGCAGGTCCATGTCCCCCAATGACCCACCTAGTCAGGTCACTTCCACTTAAGGAAAGAGCTAGTCAGGTCCAACTCACACCCACCAGCACCCACTCATGTATTTATCTAACCTATTAGCCTCTATAACTGTACTGGAGTTTACCTGGAGTTTACCTGGAGAGAGTTCCGGGGGCCAACGCCCCCGTGGCCCGGTCTGTGACCAGGCCTCCTGGTAGATCAGAGCCTGATCAACCAGGCTGTTACTGCTGGCTGCACGCAATCCAACGTACGAGCCACAGCCCGGCTGGTCAGGTAAGGACTTTAGGTGCTTTTCCAGTGCCAGCTTGAAGACTGCCAGGGGTCTGTTGGTAATCCCCCTTATGTATGCTGGGAGGCAGTTGAACAGACGTGGGCCCCTGACACTTATTGTATTGTCTCTTAACGTGCTAGTGACACTCCTGCTTTTCATTGGGGGGATGTTGCATCGTCTGCCAAGTCTTTTGCTTTCGTTGTGAGTGATTTTCGTGTGCAAGTTAGGTACTAGTCCCTCTAGGATTTTCCAGGTGTATATAATCATGTATCTCTCCCGCCTGCGTTCCAGGGAGTACAGGTTCAGGAACTTTAAGCACTCCCAGTAATTGAGGTGTTTTATCTCCGTTATGAGCGCCGTGAAGGTTCTCTACATTTTCTAGGTCAGCAATTTCACCTGCCTTGAAAGGTGCTGTTAGTGTTCAGCAATGTTCCACTCATCCACAACTCTGTTACCATACCAGTGCTTTCCTACATCCTTCCTGAATCTGAATTTTTCCAGCTTGAAACCATTGCTGCGAGTCCTGTCTTGGCCGGAAATTTTCAGCACGTTATTTACATTCCCTTTATTTATTCCTGTTTTCCATTTATACACCTCGATCATATTCCTCCTAATTCTACGTCTTTCGAGAGAGTGCAGATTCAGGGCCTCAGTCTATCCTCATAGGGAAGATTTCTGATACATGGGGATCATCTTTGTCGTCCATTCTGTAATACGGTGACCAGAACTGAGCAGCATAGTCTAAATGAGGCCTAACCAAGGATATAGAGTTGAAGAACAACCTGAGGACTTCTATTATTTATACTTCTAGATATGAAGCCGAGAATTCTGTTAGCTTTATTGCGAACACTAATGCACTGTTGTCTTGGTTTTAGATCACTGCTAACCAGAACTCCTAAATCCATTTTGCAATCAGTAGTATTAAGATCTACATTATTTAGTTTATATGTGGCATGGTTATTTTCCTGTCCAACATTTGAAACTTTCCATTTGTCTATATTAAACTGCATCTTCCCGAAACTACTCAAGACGGCAAGGGATACACCAGTACATAAAGGTGGTGATCCTACAGATTTAAACAACTATAGGCCAATATCAAACTTACCATTGCTATCCAAAATCTTTGAGAAACTCGTGCACAAGAGACTATATTCATTTATAACGGCACAAAACATACTCAACCCCTGCCAGTTTGGATTCAGGAAAAATAAAAGCACTAATGATGCAATCATAAAAATGCTTTGGAAAATAAGGAATATCCACTAGGAATTTTTATTGACCTAAGAAAAGCTTTTGACACAGTAGACGACGGCATCCTACTCCACAAACTTGACCATTATGGTATAAGAGTCCATGTGCTTGCATATTTCAAATCTTACCTTACTAATTGGTATCAGTATGTCACCATTAAAGACACAGCATCAGCAACACGGCCACTTGATACTGGAGTTCCGCAGGGAAGTGTCCTTGGTCCCCTGCTCTTCCTCATATACATCAGTGATCTTCCAAACGTATCCCAACACCTGAACCCCATTCTCTTTGCTGACGACACGACTTATGTCATCTCTCACCCTAATCTTGCCACCCTCAACACCATTGTTAACGAGGAGCTGATCAAAATATCGACTTGGATGACAGCCAATAAACTTATGCTTAACACTGACAAAACCTATTATATTATGTTTGGTAGCAGAGCAGGAGTTGCGCAAATTAACATTAAGATCGACAACACTCTAATTGCCAGACATAATGAGGGAAAATTTCTAGGCCTCGGCCTAGGTCTAGGCCTCGACAACAACCTGAATTTCAGCACCCATATCCAACACATAACCAAAAAAAGTATCCAAAACGGTTGGGATCCTCTCCAAGATACGATACTACGTGCCGCAAAATGCCCTTCTCACACTATACGACTCACTTATTTATCCATACCTCACTTATGCTATTTTTGCATGGGGATCAACTGCAGCAACACACCTAAAGCCAATAATAACCCAACAAAAAGCCGCAGTAAGAATAATCACTAAATCCCATCCCTGGCAACACAACCCCCCACTCTTCATAGATCTAAACTTACTCCCTGTTCAGTACATCCCCACTTACTACTGTGCAATCTTCATCTACAGGACCTTAAATTCCAATAGTAACCTTGGCCTAAAACGCTATCTTGATAGTTGTGACAGAACCCACAGGCATAACACCAGACACAAACATCTCTATGACATTCCCCGTGTCCAACTAAACCTTTACAAAAATTCAATGCATGTCAAAGGCCCTAAAATCTGGAACACCCTACCTGAAAACTCTAGAACTGCAGACACATTCATCACCTTCAAAACTACCATTAGAAAACATCTTATCTCCCTGATACACCCTGTCAACTAATTACACGAATACCACCTGGTGGTTCACACTTACACTCACTCATTTGACCATAAAAAGAAATATCAATCTCAATCTTAAAATAATGAATCCTAACTAGTCATAAGTTGGCCTGTGCTAAAACAAAAGCATTCACATTGCTAAACTCACAAACTAGTATTTAGTCACTTAGCCATAATACCAACTTACCTCATACTTTGTAATATTTTAAATTTAAGATTTAATCTAAGCTGCCCGAAATGCCTAGCCATGCTAGGTGTTCTAGTGGTACACTCTGTAATTATTATTTTACTATATGTAAACCACACAATACCCAAATTCTGTAAACTCAGCCACTGTAATCTGTAATCTGCCACTTCTCCGACCATTGTATCAGTCTATTCAAATCATCCTGGAGTGCTCTAGTGTACTCGTTAGAATGAATTGGACGGCCAATTTTGGTGTTATCAGCAAATTTGCTTATGTCGCTATTTATTCCCTCATCTATGTCGTTTATGTAAATTGTGAACAACAACGGGCCCAACACTGACCCCTGAGGAACACCACTTGTAACGTGCCCCCATTCTGATTTCTCCCCATTTATGCAAACTCTCTGTTGCCTATTTGTCAGCCATGCCTCTACCCAGGAAAAAATTTCTCCTCCAATTCTGTGTGCCTTAAGTTTCCTCAATAGCCTCTGATGTGGATCTCTATTGAAAGCATTAATGAAGTCCGTATACACATTATCATATTCATTACCATAATCTAACTCCTCAAGCACGTTAGTGAAAAAAGTTAGTAAATTCGTAAGACAGGAACGCCCCTTTGAAAAACTGTGTTGAAATTCATTAATCAGTCTATGCCTATCAAGATGGCTACGAATTGCTTCGGCAATTATTGATTCCATCAATTTTCCCACTATGGAGGTAAGGCTTATTGGTCTATAGTTCGAAGCCAAGGACCTTTCACCTGCCTTGTAAATAGGTATTACATTTGCCATTTTTCACTTATCAGACACTATGCCAGTTTGTAGTGATATGTTAAAAAGATTAGCCAAATGTGTGCAAAGTTCCTCTTTACATTCCTTTAACACCCTTGCAAACAGTTCATCAGGACCTGGGGATTTGTTAGGTTTTAGTTTCTCTATTTGTCTGAAGACCATGTCACTAGTTACCGCAATCGTGCAAAGTTTATTATCGTCCTGTTCTACATAATCTATTATTTCAGGAATTTCGCTAGTATTTTCCTGGGCAAAAACTGAGAGGTCAGTGATCTGACCAGAGTTACTCTTAAGTGGGCCAATCTTGTCCCTAATCTTACTTCTGTATACCTGAAAGAACCCTTTTGCATTAGTCTTTGAATCCCTTGTGACCTTAGCCTCATAATCTCTTTTTGTTTTTCTTATTCCTTTCTTTATTTCTCTCTTTAATTGAATATATTGATTTCTTAACTGCCCTTCCCCTCTTTTGATATGCCTATATATGCCTCTCTTTTGACCAATGAGATGTTCTAGTCTATTGTTCATCCATTTGGGGTCATTTTTGTTAGATTTGATTTCCCTACTCGGAACAAAAGTTTTCTGGGCAGCTAGAACTATGCTCTGAAAAACGTCATATTAGCAACCAAAATCACCTACCTGACCCATAGTCAGGACATCCCAATTTAACCCACCGAGGTAATTTTTCAGTCCCTTGAAATCGGCAAAGCGAAAATCTGGGAGAGATTTGATTGCAGTTATCTGGGTAATTCCATGATATATTGAAACTAAGTGATTTGTGATCACTTTCCCCAAGCTCATCATTAACCTCAAGATTATTAATTAGTGACTCTTTGTTTGCAAGAACCAGGTCAAGCAGTTTGTTTCCTCTAGTTGGCTCTGTCACAAACTGCTCTGAAAAGCAATCCTGAACCGTATCAAGAAGTTCACTACACTCAAGATTTCCTGTCATATTGTTCCAATCAATTTGTCTAAAGTTAAAATCACCCATTAACACATTTTCATATCTAGACGCCTTATGAATTTCGTCCCATAACAGCTTACTGCACTCCCTATCAAGGTTTGGGGACCTATAAATCACACCCAAAATAAATTTGTCACGTCCCTCGAGAAACTGTAGCCAAACAGATTCTGTGTTCGATGTTTCTCATCTTATATCATGTCTAAGACAATTTTTATTATCTCTGATGTACCTCTTTGCCGAACTCTTTGCTACCAAAATGCAAGTTCCTGATCCAGCAAGGGACCCTCCTTGGCTAGCTGAAAGATTTGTGTCAAAATTGTCACTGGTGATAATAAGGTAGAAGGAGGTGTATTTCCTTCTTAAATTGCTTGACCAAGAAAAGGCTGTGGGCCCAGACAAGTTGAACCCAAGATTGCTGAGAAGATGTGCAGAGCAGCTATCAGCACCTCTAACTCGCATCTTTCAGCACTGCCTAGTACAGTGTAAATGGCCCTCTCTGTGGAAAGAGGCAAATGTAGTTTCTGTTCACAAAAAGAAAAGCAGAGCAGAAATCAGCAACCACAGACCAGTGTCACTCCTGTCAATCACTGGTAAGATCCTTGAGACAATAATCTCAAGACAAATGACAGAGTCTTTTGACTACCACTCACTATTTTGTGACCGTCAATATGGCTTCAGAAAAGGTTACTCAGCTGCTGATCCGTTGTTAAACCTCTCCACTAACTGGCACCAGTCGCTGGATGAATCCAAAGTCAGCTGTGTGGTAGCACTGGACATTGCTGGTGCTTTCGACCGGGTGTGGCACCAGGGCCTCTTAGCAAAACTTCAAGCTCTGGGAATTGCAGGCTCTACGCTACGTCTCCTCAGTGATTACCTTCATGATAGATCTCTAAGAGTAGTTCTCAATGGAACGGAATCAGGAAGACATCCTATTTGGGCAAGTGTTCCACAAGGAAGCATGTTGGGACCATTGTTATGGAATATTTACTTCAGTGACCTTCATCTCATCCTAGAATCCCATACATATGCAGACAACTGTACACTGACATTCACTTATCCAAGAGAAGAAATGCCAACTGCTGTAAGCTACATCACTCACCAGCTAAGAGCTATATCAGCTTGGGGAAATAGATGGCAAGTAACATTTGCACCTGAGAAAACACAAATGATGATCGTCTCTAGGCACAATGATGGAAATGCCGTTGCAGTAGCAAGGATGAATGGGAGGGTGTTTGTACCTGGGGAAGAAGTTGAAATCCTTGGTGATATTTGACTCCAATCTGACCATGAAGAACAACATTGTAAATCTTACAAACAAGGCAGCCAGAAAGCTTACAGCGCTTTGCCGTATCTCTCATCTGCTTGACAGTAGGGGTTGCGAGATTCTGTATGAGGCACAAGTACGCTCACACCTTGAGTATGCTCCACTTTCTTGGTTTGCCTACCCCCTCCCATCCCCTCTCACCTGAGACTGCTTGACAGAGTAGAGAACAGAGCAAGACGTCTTATCTCTCGCCTGGACCCATCCTGGATAGATCTGTCATTTCAGCAGAGCCTTCAACATAGGAGGGAGGTGGGTGGCCTTACTGTTATGTACAAGGCCAATATTGTCAAAGTACCACACTTGGATCCACTTCGAGGACAGTGTGAAACAAGCTTCTATACTTCAAGACGGGCAGAAAGCAGCAACTTTTTTCTGGCTGTACCCTTCTCCAGAGCATCACTTAATCTGAGATCATTTATCCCCAAGATGACTCGAGTATGGAGCACATTCGTACAACATTATGATGTCAACGAGATAGTTGACCAAATGAAAATACTGGCCCACAGATGGCTCCAACTTAATCTTGTTCTCTGCTTGTATGTTTCATAATAAAAATGCTTTCAGATGAGCTTATGTAGGTAACAGTTTTTAGCTAGTCAATAAAGTTAGGAATCCTTAACCTGTAAATAGCTTGTCAATAAAGCTAGGGATCCTTAACCTTGTCAAACCTTGTGTAAAAAAAACACTTAGACTGTTAATTTATTTTTAGATATATATGTATATCTACTTTTGCATTCAAGTGCTAATATATGTGTGTGCCTACTGTGCCTACTGTGCCTACTGTGCCTACTTTGCCATTTCATCAATCTACTAGAAATTCCACAGGAAATACAGTCCCTAAATATGTTTATTATTAAGACATTCTCTTGTGTCAGTCACAAGAAAAGCTTCTATAATCAAAACGTAGACGCAACTCGTGTTGTTAATATCGTAAGCAAATTTACATGATATAATAATTTTAGTTAATATCAGAGGTATATTTCACACGTCAGAAAGTTACTAATGCATATTGTCTATTCAATGCATGATGAAAATATTATAAAAGTTAATTTCTACCTTCTTCACCTGTAAATGTTCCTTATATTTCTGCAGTTCCTCCTGCAAAGTTCTTCTTAACCTTCTGCTTCCCTGCTAGACACTGCTAAAGAGAAGATAAGGTTAAGATAGACCTGACGTTTAGACCTTATTTTACGATAGACCTAATGACGTTAAGATAGACCTGCAAAGTCTAACTTAATATTCTTCAACTTTCTGTGCAAATTGCTTCTAACTGTTTGAATCGTCACTTTCATGACTCTTAATATTTTGGTGGTTAAACTGGAAGGTGTTCCGAAACATCCAGTCACTAGACGCTCAGAAACTTAGGGAAGCTTTCCATGCAAAGTGCTTCTTTATACTTTGGAACTGACTGATGCCAGATTCTGGTTTGACATGAAATGGTATTCCAAATCTTCGGATCTGCATAAAAAGGCTTTAAATGGCTGGCTGCAAGAACCAGGTATTATACTGTTCACTAAAGTCAGTTATTACCAGCCGGGCTGTGGTTCGTACCGTCATTTTGCGTGCGGCCAGCAGTAACAGCCTGGTTGATCAAACCTTGATACACCACGAGGCCTGGTCTCAGACCGGGCCGCGGGGGCTTTGACCCCCGAAACCCTCTCCAGGCAAACTCCAGGTATACTTCCCCTGCTACCATGTTTTCCGCGGTTTCTGAAAACGAAAAAAAAAAATTTGCAAAAAAAATATAATTACTTAAAAGAATTATTTTTTTTGAGTGATAAAATATTATTGATACAAACTTTTAAAATAACAAACTCAATAAATAATAAATAGTAATAAATTTAGAAAAATATAATTTATATGGAAACTTCGAACTTTACAGGATAACCTGGACGACTTTGAGCGACCTTTGTACGTGACCTTCACCTCACATTCACAGGATTTTGATCCAGGTATGTCAGTAAAAGTGATAATTATAGGCTAAAAGATGTGAGTTATGTTAAGATTGTTATTGGAAGGTCAGATGGCTCTCATCGGTCAGCAAATATCAGATTAGCTGGACAGATCAGTTAGTTGCTGGTCGATATAAAATCAACCAGATAAGTGCTGCAGCACACGGGCGCCTGGCAAGCCTGAGAATAACGTTGCGGCATCTAAGTAAGGAGTCATTCACGACACTGATCACTGTGTACGTCAGGCTCATACTGTAGTATGCAGCACCATTATAGAACCCACACCTGGTCAAATATGTCAAGAAATTAGATAAAATGCAAAGATTTCCAACAAGACTAGTCCCGGAGCTGAGGTGTGTCCTACTAAGAGAGGTTAAGGGAACTCAATCTGACAACACTGGAGGACAGGAGGGATAGGGGGAACATGATAACGATATATAAAATACTGAGAGAAATTGACAAGGTGGATAGAGACAATGTTTCAGAGACGTGATACAGCAACAAGGGGTCAAAACTAGAAGCAGAGTACACAGTCAAAGGGATGTTATTTCTTCAGTCACTATATGATAGGCCATCCAAATCGTTCTAATGACACTAGAGCACCCCATGATGATTTGAATAGACTGATGCAATGGTCGGAGAAGTGGCAGATGCAGTTTAATATAGACAAATGCAAAGTTCTAAATGTTCGACAGGAAAATAACCATGCCACATATAAACTAAATAATGTAGATCTTAATACTACTGATTGCGAAAGGATTTAGGAGTTCTGGTTAGCAATAATCTAAAACCAAGACAACAGTGCATTAGTGTTCGCAATAAAGCTAACAGAATTCTTGGCTTCATATCTAGAAGTATAAATAATAGAAGTACTCAGGTTGTTCTTCAACTCTATATATCCTTGGTTAGGCCTCATTTAGACTATGCTGCTCAGTTCTGGTCGCCATATTACAGAATGGATATAAATGCACTGGAAAACGTACAAAGGAAGACAAAATTGATCCCCATGTATCAGAAATCTTCCCTATGAGGATAGACTGAGGGCCCTGAATCTGCACTCTCTCGAAAGGCGTAGAATTAGGAGGAATATGATCAAAGTGTATAAATGGAAAACAGGAATAAATAAGGGGATGCAAACAGCGTGCTGAAAATTTCCGGCCAAGACAGGACTCGCAGCAATGGTTTCAAGTTAAGAACATAAGAACATAAGAAAGGAGGATCACTGCAGCAGGCCTGTTGTCCCATATTAGGCAGGTCCTTTGCAATCCATCAGGTTTGGTAATAGAGTTGTGGATGAGTGGAACAAGCACCCGAGTACAGTTATTGAGGCTAAAACGTTGTGTAGTTTTAAAAATAGGTTAGATAAATACATGAGTGGGTGGGTGTGAGTTGGACCTGATACCGTGCTCCTTCCTTAAGTGGAAGTGACCTGACTAGGTGGGTCATTGGGCTAATCCAGGGAGGGGGGACATGGACCTGCTTCGCATGGGTCAGTAGGCCTGTTGCAGTGTTCCTTCTTTCTTATGATCTTATATGGTTTTTGGACTAGGGAGAGTAGGCCTATTAGTAAGCAGCGAAGAGGAGAGGCCAGGAGCTGTGACTCGACACTGCAACCATAAATAAGTGAAATATAGGTGAATACACACACACACACACACACACACACACACACACACACACACACACACACACACACACACACACACACACACACACATACGTGAAGCAGTATCGCTGAATAGTGCTCCCAGGATTTAGCGTTCTAGTGGCTGTCCTAAGATATTATTAGCGGTCATCGTACGTGAGTGAATCAGTGATCATACCTACAAGAGTGTAACAGCTTTCTAGAGTGTGAATAATGTGATAAGATCAAGAATTTTACAATTTAAATTTGAATGAATGTTGAGTGAGGGAGGGTAGCAGTCAGCTAATGAGGCTGCTGGCTGCAGTGTTGACACAAAATATCCAAACATAGTTAATTGGTTTAACGGTGTGATCTGAAATATTAATAAATACAGATATTGGTTGGTTATAGCAGCAGTGTAGTGATAAGGTCATAAACGAGCGATTAAGTAAATACTGAAAGTAAGTAAAAATTAGTCAATCCCCAGCTGTTGGTGTTGTGAAGGTAGCTAACATCATCAGACTTGTTATGACCATAATACTGTACTAAAGAAAAAAGAGGGAATGCCAAGTCTTAAAAGAAAAAGAAAATAAAAACTTGAATGCATGATAAACTTCCTGAAGGAGTTACAAAAGTGAAGGAGTTGATAGCAGCCGACCAGCAGGAACCTCCATTGTTGTGCAGACGACATCACTTGCCTATTTGTGGTTAATTTTGGTTAGTGTCTAAAGTCTCAGTGTCTCGCCCTGCTGGTTGTATGCTATACTATCACTCTCTCCCTAACTTTCAGTACCAGGAGATAGATAGTGGTAACTCTGATAATGTTTAGTAAATTATCTAAATATCTTCAGAAGAGTTGTGTAGCCTAGTGAACCCCCCCCCCTGACAGCAACAAGCTAGTAAACAAGTACGTACATACAAACACACGTGTGTACCCGTAATTATTATAATAAACATTAGTAATATTAAAAAGGGAACTGAGTGAGAAAAAAAAAACCCTATAATCTTAAAAAAAGTAAAACCCGGGTTGTGCGAGATCGGGCCGGGAGAGTACCGGTAAAACCAACAAAAACAAAGATCTGGGCCGGAGATACCGGTGAACCAACAACAACAAAGATCTGGCCGGGGAGAGTACCGGGTTACAACAAAAATAACAAATATTTAACGTCCCCCCCCCCCCCCTTTTTTTCAAAGAACGACAAGCATAAACCCCCACACCACAACCACAAGTACACATAAATATTATATAGTAAAAATTTAGTTAATTAATAAGAAATTGACTAAAAAAATTTTATAATCTTCAAGAGTAGCGTACCCCCTAGGTGCCCGCACACCCACACCCACACACCCCACACACCCAAAAACCCACCAAAACACACACCCACACACACCCCACACCCCACCACCCACACACCCCACACACACCCACACACACCCACACACCCCACACACCCACAACCCCAAACACCCACACACCCCACACACCCACCAAAACCCACACACCCACACACCCACCACACCCACACACACCCACACACACCCACACACACCCCACACACACACCACATACATAAACACAGGGTTTGTGTCATGGCCGAGGGGGTGGTGACACTGGGGGTCGCGGGATGCATGAGCAATAGGGTTTTATAAAGACACATGAAGAATTTTCAAAAAAGTTAAAAAAGGGTACGTCTCAGCATCTGCAACTTTCACGCATCACGCCAACTTAATAACTCCCTGTTGGGGGTTTTTTTTTTTTTGGGGGGGTTTGAACCGCCTTGATCACGTTAGATACTGGCACTCACTCCTGCAAGCATTTCCAAATTTTAGCGAAATAGCAAGATAAGGGGAAGATGGGTTGACTACGAGGAGCAGCCTAGCGAGGGGGAAGCCAGTGAGGGTGCGTCAGCACTCCTAAAGCTCAAAAAGATAAATTTTTAAAACCCAATTTCTTTTTTGTGTTTTATAAGTAAAGTAAAGTGCAGAAACACGTTGGTATTTTTAGAATTACTGGGATTACCGTTTTTTTATTACTAGAATACTTTTGAAGGGGGGGAACCACCCGCACACACACACACACACACACCAAAACACAACCCACACACCCCACACTCGCACATACACAAAACACAACACCCCCACACACACACACACACACACACACACACACACACACACACACACCACACACACATACACAAACACACACACATACACACACACAACACACACATACACACATACACACCACATACACACACACACAAAAACACACAACACACAAAAAAAACAAAAAACACATACACCACTACACACAAAACATACACACACACACACATACACAATAAAAAAACCCCTAAACCGGAAAAAGAATTTAAAAGTGTAGACCCCGGGGTTTTTTAAAACCCCCAAAACCCGATTTTTTCACATTGTACTGAATTGAACCCTTTCCCCTCCCTCCCCCCCCCCCCCCCCCCCACACAGAATAAAACCCAAACCACCCCCACCCTTTTACCTTACACCCCACCACACCCACCACCCCTCCAAAACCCCCTTCCCCCCCAAAATTTTTCCCTAAACCCCACTCCAACCAACAAAACCCCCCCCACTAAAAAAACCCTCCCCTTTCCAAAACATCCCCCCCTCCCTTTATCCCCCCTCCCCCCTTTCCCACCTTCCCATCCGGGTTTCCCCCTCCCCCCCCTAACCTTTCCCCCCCTGCCCCCTCCCCCCCCCTTTTCCCCGGGGCCTTCCCTCCCCCCCCTTTCCCTTCTCCCTTTTTTCCCTTCCCCCCCCCCCCTTTCCTTTTTCCCCCTTTTTCCCTCCCCATCTTTTTTCCCCCTTTCTCTCCCCTTCCCGCCTCTCCCCCCCCTTTCTCTCTCCCCCTCTCTTTTCCCCCCTTCCTTTATCTCTCCCCACCCCTTTCCCCCCTTTTCTCCCACCCTTTTGCCCTCCCTCCCCCTCCCTCTCCCCCTCCCCTTTTTCCTCTCCCCCCTTTTTCCCCTTTTCCCCCCCCTCTTTCCTTTTCCCCCTTTTTCCCCTCCCCCCCCCCTCCCCCCCCTTCCCCTTCCCTCTCTCTCTCTTCTCCCCATCTCTCTCTTGCTCTCTCTCCTCCTCCCCTCGCTCTTCCTCTCTCTCTCTTCTTCTCCCCTCTCTCTCTTGCTCTCTCTCTCTTTTGCTCTCTCTCTCTCTTGCTCTCCCCCCTTTTGGGCCTCTCTCTCTCTCCTTGCTCTCTCTTTTCTCTTGCCTTCTCTCTCTTGCTCTCTCTCCCCTTCTCTCTCTCTTGCTCTCTTCTTTTTTTCCCTCTTGTTTTGCTCTCCCTCTCTTGCTCTCCTCTCTCTCTTGCCTCTCTTTTGCCCTTCCCTCTTTCCTTTTC